AAAAATAAAGTTAATTACAATTAAACTACTCTAAAGCAATCTACTTCATTTTAGAATTATCCGAAATTATTTTGTTCACTTTGTGGACGTAACACCCGTTCTAAGACGTCCATTGCGTGCTTCTTAGGTCGGTGCCCAATTCACCTCGTTACTGATTAGCAAACCACCTCACAAAAATTGATTTTCATAAGCCAAATGTAAGCTTTAATAGTATTTTGTTTTCAATTTTAAACAAACTTTTTAAAGGTTAAGAAGAACTCAAATTCATATGGATTTAAAATTAATAGTGCCATCTGTAAGTCGGCTTACGAATTTTACAGTCCAGTCTAAAATTATGTAAAAACATACTATTACATTTTTTTTATTAATCTAAATATATAAAAATGAATTTTTGTTCGATAGTCTCACTAAACTCGCTAGGGGTGAACGAATTCATCTTAGTCTTGAAATGTTCGTGGAGGTTCAGGGAAGGCTTAAAAGCTGAAAAATTTCCCGGGAAAACCTTAAAAACAGCCCTTTTCTATTTTCCATACAAAAGTTTTTTTGACAACAAACTAATAAGTCATTCTGTCGCACTTCAGAACCCGGAGATTTTTGGCTTAAAGGTAAACTTAAAAAATATAAATAAAAAATCAGAACAAAGAAAAAGGTTAGGATATTCTATGAGTGCATCCATTTATCTTTGTGAGTGACGATTACCACTGCGTGCGCGAGAACTTTCTTTATTTTGTGTGGCACTTTATTATTAAGTTACTGTTAAGTAAGCCAGAAATTTTTTCACTTTGATTAATTACGTTACGATGCCGAGGAGAAGTCTTTTAGGAGTAATAGCACTAACGCAGACGAAGTTGCGGGCAAAAACTAGTATTAAATAATAATCAAAGGTGTTTTTGCAAAACTGAATACTTCCTTATTATTCAGTTCCAAGACATGATATATTACTGAATCAATCTTCTTCCGCATATCTAATCCGCATTAATATAAGTGAGATTTGTTTATGGTTATAGTAAGGTCTGTAACGCCTTCGCATTCCTCTCATGTAGATACATATATAATGCCAACCCCCATCGATTACTCTAACCCCATAGGTAGGCCACGGTTGTCGTTTATTTTTTTCTTTTTTATTTGACTCTTTAATTATGAACAAATTCTCATTTTTACAAAAAAAAAATGAAAATAGCCTAAAGCCTAATACTCAGAAAAGCACAGTGCCATGGGAAATAAGTGAATACACTTTATATCTCTTTTGCTGATTGTGTTATGTTAAGAATTTTGCTTGTATTAATGGTTCTTGGATTCTACTTGACGTTGAAGTATGAAAAATATACTCAGACTTAAAACATAAAAATACATTTACAAAATTGAATAGCACAAACAAACTTTAAATAATTTATCAGCTTTTAACCTTACCAAGTTAGATAAACTTCTTTAATGCTGCTTAAACCGCTTTAAGATAAGCCAAGTTAGTAATTTTCATAAATTCAAAGTTAAAATATCATAAAAATATTATTTAAATATATTTTGTTTGAGCCAAAATGACATTCTCATGAATAAATAATCTACACATTTTCATCAACGTCGTTAGAGTGCTTGTGAAAAAGTAGGTTCAACTTTTTCAATCAAGATATTTTTAAAGCATTTTTAAAACAAAATCATATTTAAATGTTAAATCAATAAAATGAACATGTATACAAAATATAAAAAATATAGACGCTAAGTATTTTGAAGCAAATATGAACTTTTTAAGTGACGATGAAGTTTAAAACTTTGTATTATGTTTAATAAACTTAAGTAAGTCTGCTTTTTACTTTAGTATTGAATGATAAGCATAAACTGAGATTTGCTTAAAAACTATCAGCCAAATAAGTAATGAGGATTATTTAGGTTAATTATAACGTTCATTTAATAAAAAATAAAAGCACTGATAGTAATATTATTCAATTATAATATTTTTTTTCTTTTTTTCAACATAATTTGAAAAAGTAAATCTTTCATCTAAAGAAGAAGTGACGTGTGAAATTGGTAACCGTACAATAGTATCAAGTTTCTTTAAAAAAATATTTGTTGGCAGAAATTGAAGCACAATAGTTATGAAATATTTAATTAAAAATAATTAGTCCTTACTAAAATCCATTATTGTCTGTTAATTTGCTAAATACTTAAATGATGCTTAAATCATTTGTTTCATAATCATATAAATCTAATGAGATCTTAGATTTTGCCGATTATATGTATAATTATTTTCAACAATATTTTATTATAATTAACTATAATCGCGTAGTAAATCCATAAATATTAGTTTTATTTCAGTATAAATTATAGTTTAAGTGCCTAAACTAAATTATCTATAAATTTTTCTATACCTCAAAAAGAAATATTAAAACATTAAACGCTAGTTCAAAGGTTATTGATGATATCACTTACACACTATTGCTCTTTTTCTCACGAACTTATGGCAAGTGATTCATCACAGGACCTTTAACACTACACAACAAAATCCATGCGTGATATTAATACATATTAGCAAGTCATTGTTATAATACAGCGAATATAGTATGAGTATTGGAAAAACCCGAGTTCGATACATCTGCTTATTCAACAAGCAATAGACATCTAATTATAAATTTAAATACTTCATCCGTATTATTAAACAAAATTAATTATAAATGACATTTCATTCATAACAAGTTCATTATGTAATTTAATAAATAAACTGCGGAAATAAAGGATTGTTTTTCTATTATTTAGCTACCTATATGTTTTATTGATGAGTTTTTGGTAGTTTTACTAGAAGGTTTTTGGTACTCTGAACTTTATATCATGTAAAAGCTCTTTTAAAGGGATCATCTCTTTTAGTACGGTTTGGTGTGTGAAGGTAACAACGCTTTGGTTACCAAAATACTGTCTGAACTCCACTAACTAACGCGGCTAATGTACCACTAAAGAAATTTAACGTTAGTACTGCATATATTTTAAAATATTTGACCCTTTAAATTAAATTGAACCATTCTTACGAGTATATTTCGTATAACAAAATATATATCATTATAGTTTATTATATATAACAAACATAATATACAGTCAACATTGCTTAACTTCTTGTGAGATTTTGTGCAAAATACAGCACAGTTTACGAGACAGCCGTATCTAATACATTCAAGACCGCTCAAGTCATGTTTACGTCACTCTTTCCTAAAACAGTGACAAATTGTAAATTGTAATACGACACCAAAAATATCCTCCTTGAAGAACAATGTCTTTTAAAATAAATTCATATTTGTATTTTATATCCCACAGATAACAATGACATGTCTCATGTACTATTTTCCAATATTCGAAGTTGTAGAAACTATAAGAAAACGAAATTGTTTGTCCAAGAGTTGTCTATACATTGAAATTGATTTAATATTTTAACTACTAAGGCATATATATGTATACTAATTTATACTTGTAATATTTAAAACAAAGATAGCGTTAGATTTGTGATGACATTCACCATATCTATATAAACTTAAATATACAAGTTTGTTATGAAAACTGCGTGTGGTTTTAATATACAAAATATATAGCACAAAGGGTGTTAAAGAAGTTAGTAGACATAAATTAATCAGATGTATGTCAATCTTTTAATATATTATTTCAAAATACTACGGTCATAAGTCATAATAATTGTCATAACGCTATATTCAAACTGTTGCCTTCAATTTAAAGGCATCGATTTTCTTACAGAGTTCATCTGTCGACTCTGAACCATCTTGATTGGATAATATACATAAGGCCGAATGACGTAAAGCGTTGGAGGAATTAGGGAATTATACAAAACATTTTGGAGATAGGCATTGTAATTAAGACTTGAAATATGTATATTTAAACATAAAGTACATAATAAGTATCTGCATATATGTCATTTAAATTTAAAAGACAAAAGATTTTTTAATGTATAGTATTAATTTATAGCAAAACTTAGATTTCTATACATATAAAACAATAAATATTTTGCAAAACTGTTTGATAGATTTATATCATTTTGAATCGTCGGTTTAATACAAATAGTTTCCCTATTTTTATCCATAAAATATATAGACACTATTAACATACTCGTACATATTCTATGGTACTAATACATCCAAAGATCCATTTTAACACTCAGTAATAAACTTGAGAATAAAACTTGTATTAAACACAAGTTTATTGCGTTGTTCAAAAACCGGTTTTATTTTATGAAGTTAATTTAATTTTATTTATTATTACTGAAGTAGAACAATCCATTCATATAAAACGGAATATACGGATTAAATTGGTGGACAGTACCACCAATTTAATCCGTAAGAGTATCATTTGGTTTTATAATTTTATATCTTACTAGAAGACCCGGCGAACTTCGTATCGTCCTATAATCAAGTTTACCTATTAAAGCCATAAATCTCCGTGTTTTGAAGTGTGACAGAATGATTGACATATTAGTTAATTGTCAAATCTAATGTCAAAAAAAAAAACGTCTGTATCAACAACTACTAATAAATTAAAAAATAATTAAAAAAACACTGTCCAGCGGACAAAATTGTGAATCTAAACTATTCTCAGATTCCCTTGAACACACACAAAAAAATTCATCAAAATCGGTCCAGTCGTTTGAGAGAAGTTCTGTGACATACACACTCACAGAAGAATTAAATACATATATAAAGATTTAAGGCTGAATAATGTCAATCAAAACATAGGTTTTACTTCAATGTTCTTAAAAAAATTGAGATATCTTTTGAATATTAAACTAATTTAATATACAAAACTTTGGGACAATATAATTTTAGAATAAGAAATTATTATAAGTATATTAATTACAATTAGTATAGTTGCCAAAAAATCCACGAATTTTATTACAAAACAACTTGTTAATTTATTAATTCTCTTATTAACAATTCACAATATTACTAAAAAGTTTCTAATTTCCCATAAGCCATACGGGTTTGAATATCCAATTATAATTTATACCTTTCAGTTTAAGAATTATTTCTGTCTACAAACAAATTAGGTCTTTGGCTGTAAGTCTGGGGATTCCTTCTTAATGCATCATATTGGCGCCAATTGAGATACCAAAAAGGTCTCTGGTCTTCTGGCATTTGATTAAATCTATTTATCAAAGCACCGTCTCCTCTGGCTTCAATAGGTAAATTTGCATTTTCTCCGAATCTATTTGTAAGGACATTCGATGCTCCTTTGGGATATCCGATCGCTCGTAATCCGGCGTAAAAAGGTCTTTGTGCGTTGCTCACTGCACCAAGTATTGCAAGTGTTAATACAATCTTACAAACTGACATTTTTACTGTAAAACAAAAAAAAAACTTGAAATATCAACCGTACTTTTGTAAATAACTGATTCTTTCCTCAGATTTTTAAGTGTCTTTAACAAATATAAAACAAAAAAAACATTTCAAACGAGCAAGACAGGAAACTGTAGATAATAACTAACCTTTACGTTTAAATAACAAAAAGGTATAGTGCGGCTTGTTTCTGCGATGAATTCACACGGTATGAATTCAAGGGCAGTGAATCAAATAAATATAGATACTTGCTCTTAGGAGACGTTCCATCGATGTCAGAATCGATTATACTTGCTATCTTCCTGTTATAAAAATAAAGTTTCTCAAATAATTTTAGAACATTATTGCCTCAATATCTACAATTTAATAACAGTATAGGTGTCTAAGCCATTCATTACTTAAAATCTCTTTATTACGAGACAAAAATATAAAAAACTGAAAGTTTCATACGAGAAACGCTATTATTACAACTTACGATATTGCTTATACCATACATATATATATGACTAACATCTGAAGACAGGATGCAATTCAGCATAAAGCTGTATGTTCTCAAACAGATTCCGTTATGCTGAGTTATTATATGCTCATATGATTTTCAGTTTTGGATGCGCAATAGCTTGAACAATGCATTACTTGGGTACTACCAGAATAATAGCATATGTAAATTTACTACTACATAGTACAACAAATAACAAAGTTTATAAAGATATTTATTTATTTATAATAAAATACAATGACCAATATATAAACACTTTGAAAGATATACCTTAATTGAATTATTGGCGGGTATGTGCTAGTTATCACATTTCTTTTCATGTATTTATTCTCCGTTATTACCCCGATAAGTTAGGTAGCTATCAAAACATATTTTGAATGTACTTGTCTTAAATTCTTGAAACATAATAGTGATCAATTATGTAATACTAGAGTAGGAGATAAATCTTAAACCAATAAATAATACACATGAAACAAAAAATAAAAGTTTCTCGAATTAAAATTAAGGTAGGCATTGGGACAACTTATAACGTATAAGTTGTACATTTTTTAATGTATAAAATTATTTTTTTATTCCACATTTTTCAGTTTGCAGTTACCCTGATCACGGACAGACGAGATGAAAGTATCTGTCAATTAGTCTTGTTCCTTTTCAGCTATCACAAGGGATTTCTTAATTTTTTCAGATACGTACAGTAATCACGGCCATGGGATTTTATATTTTTTTATGAAGGAATCTCAGGTGTTAGATAATTGTCAATCTTCGTCTTTGTTAAAGTGTTTTTACTTTTTTATTTACGTGTGTTACGAGTGACAATCTGTTGTTTGTCAAAATGGATGTTATGGCTTGGCGTGTCGTCTGTATGTCCTTTCATGTACGAGTTATGCTCCGTAATCCTCTTCGTTTGTCAAATGTATGACAATCCACAGTCACATCCAAGTGAATAATTATATAACAGGTGATATAATCTGTAGAAAGTTGAGACATACACTATATTCCTTAAAAAATAAACTTTTACTTTGCTTAATCACCCTAATTAACACATTGCGATGTGATTCAACATAGAATTTGCGGTAAAATATACATAATTTTTTTTCGTTCCTCCAGGAAATTAGGTTTTACGATTTTAAAATACACAGAGGTCCAACCTCTTTGTATTTTAAAATCCTAATAATACTTTAAAGCATACTGTTTTTACTAACGATATTTTTAAAAGATATTGAAGAAATGTGCATATGAGCCGACAGATTAAGTGGAATTATAGTCTGAAATAGTTAATTATCTACTGTAGGATTTAAGTCCTATAACTATTGAAAACTTAGAATAAATTGTGTTTGCTTCTAAGTAAAACTATTTATCTGTATTTTTGTATGGCGTTTATTGCATCTATAAATTACTAACAGCAACAACAGTAACAGACGACAGTAAAGCATAGAATTGATAGCGAAGCGAAGAATTCAAATGAGATGATAAAAATAACTTGACTGACCCTTACAAAACATCAATACTGATAAAAGTGTTTATAAGTTGATCAAAGTATTCGACAGTTAGAAAAATAATAATGAATATATTTCTCATAGAGTCAAATAATTGAGAATTTTGAATGCCTTTATAATAAGAAACCACTCTGTAAGATGAAAAACGTAATAAAACCAAAAAACATAAAAGCGTTATTTTGCAAAATCATATAAAAAAATAGTAAAGGGAAAAGAAAAAAGTCACTGATAATAATTTATCCAACTTAGATATTTTATGCGCTCCCAGTAAGTTGGCCAATAAAAGTTTTGGCAGTTTAGAGATTTGCTTGTATTTAAGTTTGAGAACATTCATATAATAAAAGTTTATTTATTAAAAGGACAATATTATTTCCTTCGTCGTTTATTCCTAGTAAAAGAAGTGTATAGATTTTTTGTAATCATACATCCATGTACATTGTACACTATGTACAGCATGTAACTTCTCATATATGTATTTTTACACTTGTATTATCAAAATAAGTAATTATAATGATTTTATGAAATTCTTATAAAACCCCTTTATAGTAACTGTTATTTAACACAGTTATGTATGAGGCACTTCATAAAATAATGGTAAGTAAAAACTGTCTAACATAATTTTGGTAAAAACTTCAGACTATCCCCCTGTTGGAGTTTGTTAACCAAAACTAACAAATCCGTCGACCAGTCCTTTGAAAGCTACTACAGGAACGTTGATGTCAAACTTATAACACGCCTATTTTTGCATCGGGTACGGTTTTAGAAACAACCTGTACGGTGTTATAATTTATTGTTAATCAAAATGTACATGGTAAATAAGTATGTATACCATTATAAGTGAAGAGTGGTGGTTTAAACGAAAACAAAATATTTATATGGCACAGCATATTAAAAGTTTATTTTGCAAATAACTTTAAATCACAATATCACAGATAAAGCACAATTTATATTATAACACTAAAGATTTTGATGAATTTATTCAAAATTTTATCTGCGTCCAGAGTTTCTGTCTATAAATCCATTTGGTCTTAATTGATATGTCTGAGGGTTCTTCCTTAATTCGTCGTACTGTTGTGAGTTGATGAACCAGAACGGTCTGTTATCTACGGGTATCTGGTTAAATCTATTTATTAAATTTCCGTCTCCCTTAGCTTCTATTGGTAAATTTGAATCTTCTCCGAATCTGTTTGAAAGTACATTTGTCTCAAGCTCAGGATATCCGATCGGTCGTAATCCAGCGAACGATGGCCTCTGGGCATGGCTCGCTGCACAAAATAATGCAAGGGCGACAAGGACTTTGTATACTGCCATTGTATCTGTAAATAAATGATCAATTATTAAAATTAATAAGTATTAAGGAAACAAAGATTCGAGACTAAATTAATTCTATAAAAAAGTTTATTATACGAAACTCGTTAGAAGTGATAAACATTGAAAAATACTGATGTAATTAAATATCTAAATGATATTAAAAAAACAATGTTCAAATAAACTAATTAAATAACTATTTAATTGGTTTGATGTAATGTACCTTTTATTATTAAAAGTAGTCTGTGGTAAGCGGCGCGTCTTGTGTCTGCGAAGTGCTAACTGTATATGACTGTACACAAGCCCGTCGTATTAATATATACCATCGAAGACACGCTTATCTTATTCGTCACTAACAATGTAGATTTGTGAATTATGTAGAGGTGACACAAAAATAGTACACAAAATAATTTGAAAAACTTATTTCTATTTATAGTTAGTTCAGCTGAATATTTTTCTTTCTAAAGTATTAAAGCCTCTATTAATTAAATTTATTTAGCCAACCAAATTGTATTTCGGAAGTTATAGAAACTCGACATTTTTCTGTTTTATTATAAAAGCATGATTTATTGGAATCCTTATTAAGATACAGATAAAGTCCAAAACTGTAGTTGTATACAATAAAAAGAAAATTAAATTAAATAAATATAAAACTTGCTCGAACTCTCTACAACATTTTAAGTGAACGTAAAATCCCAAAGAACGAATCATCGGGTACAGACGATTCAAGCTAAAGACGCAACATCTTGATGTTACGTCACACATTGGCTTTATTCGTTTCGTCACTAGGTTTTTATACTGGCGCTTCCAATAAGCCCAATAAACCAAAACTTATGAATTATTGCTTATATATATTTTTTAATTTTTAGAGCTTGATATCATAAAGTTTTAGTCTTAATTAGTGTTAAAATAAACTGTCACTTGTAGACCACGTTTATATTACAATTTCATATTATTTTGATAAAAAACATGGTTTATTGTTAACTTATAAATAATGATATAAATATTCCATTTAAAAATGAGCCATAATTTTATGATGATATAATACCTTATTACAATAAATATTTCTAATTTATTTTTATAATCTAACAACAGTTTTTTTAATTTGTATAAACAAATTGTTATGCTATTTATATACTTTTAATATTCATTGTGTGTATGTCTGATACTATTCCACTTGCCTCTCACTTTTAGAGATCTTTTAACAAAGCGGACCAAGGCTTAATGAGTTTAGGAAAAAAAGGTAGATACAATTAAAATCTGACACGGAATTAAAATCAATTAATAAGAAAAAAACAAGTAAATTTAACTATCATTATACATATGTACTAAATAATAAATATTCTATTTAGATCATTCAATAAAAAAGAAACAAACCCCGAGAGATTCGAAAAACTTTAATGCAATCAGCACTAGGTATTTGTTTTAGAAGAGTGATTGTTTTATCTTTAATAGCAAACGCATAGCTCCGATAATTCATCATACATACGATAGGTGGTAGAGAAGATGGAAGAAAAATCAGTTTTACTTATAAAACTATATTCTGGTAATAAATAAAACTAAAGAAGACATAAATTACATTCTGAAGAAGTGTTGGTAATTTAGTGATTGACTTCAGAATCAATATATAATAAGAGTTATAACTAACTACATCCTAAATAGGTGTCTCCTCCAGTATGTAAGCGGTTGCCTCAAGACCGAATGTATGTTACAACCCATTTCTCATTTCGACGGATGGTGCAAGGCGTGCGGTGTCATCTCCACTTTCCCATTGACATCGATGACTCAGCCTCAGCATTTGATACTTAACACCATTAATGTACTATAAGGTTATTTATCGCCTACGCTTAACAATTACGTAGTAAATGACTTCAAAACAATTAAATCTATAAATAAAAATATATACATAACCGTATGATGTTCATATAGATAAAACACTTTGATTAACATTGTTTCTGTCAAGATTTTTTGTTTTGACAAAAAATCTTAAAAATTAATGTTTGTATTTACCATAAAATATAAACTGGATAGTTGAGGTATCATCACAAACTTTAAGAGTTCTCTTTTATTTTTTACTTTTCTCCTTTATCTTTTGACGTTGTCATAGACTTAAAAATATATATTTTTAAATAAAATTTCCAAAAATCGTGTGAAACGAAATAAGAGTAATTTTCTTATATATTTTAAGTGAAATTTATTCAGGAACGGTTATTAATAGGTTTATATCAAAACGAAAGTAAATACATATGTTTTACTTCAATTGTTAAAACTAAATCATATTCCAACTTTATAAGTTTCTCAACGAAAATAAGTAGAGAGTAATAATTAATAATTAATTAGCAGAGGACCGAGTTTTATGGCGCGTGTTGGGAGAGGCCTATGTCCAGCAGTGGACTGCTATAGGCTGAGTGATGATGATGATGATGATGAATAATTAATAAAAGAAATAAAAACGTTAATTAATTAGAATTGATTTAAATAAAATAATAAGAAACCCGTTAATTGTAATAAATATGGGGAAAAAAGTAAGGTGATAAATACATAGATCCTATGTAGAAGTTAGGTTATTAATAATTTAGATTTAATGTAACTTCAATAATATTGTGAAGTGCTATAACTATCCAATTGTGTGTACATATATAAGTATATACTATGGAATACTTTCTCATCTTATTAGTACGAGTATATTCAGATTTGTAAACTGTATTAATACTACGCACATACTTTATTATACAACTTAAATATTTAACTGATACAATAGTATTTTTAACAATCAACCCATCGATATAATAACAAAATTATTCACATTGAAATGAAATCACTAACAGTGCTGCAAATTTTGTATAACAATATGTTTGTATGTTTTGAAGACACATATTAATATTTTTATACAAAATAAAATGGTTCATTTAATACACGCAATTATTAAAAAAGTCTAAAGTTCTTTAAGTCTACGTAAATCCCAGCGTACAGAGACAGTCGCGTCGGAACGTGGCAAACCCAGTTGATAACATAACATCTGTATATATGTACATCTACATCTACACTACGTCACAAAGTATATTTACGCTATGAGTTATTCTTATAATTAAACGGGTTTCATATGAGAACTAAATTTTGTTTACAATAATACTGGTTTTGGTTCTTGCTCGCATCTTTGTCTAATTTCGTCTACCATACTATGATATAACAATATAGTTTTGGTATTTCCATTGCCATATAATAGTCAAAATTCAGGTTTATAGCGTTACGTAATGTTTGTTGATCTAACACGATTAAGTATTATTTATATTTGACATAGGTTAAACATGATCTTAAAATGTTATTAATGGTCCATACATACTTTTTTACTTTACTGTCAGTCAATACCAACTACAACAAGTCAAGAAGTTTGAAGCTGAGACAAGTATTTTATTTTAAAAGTATATCAAAAATTTTATTACTTATATATTTAAAAATGTAGAAATAAAAATTAACTCGATTCCCATAATTGATGTTAAAATAATCTCAATAACCAACAAACAAATAATTTGTTTACAAATAAAACAATGAAATTCATAGATACTTGTAACGGCAAAAAACCAATGCGATAACGCTATCAAAGTATGTTACGCGGTTTAAACAAATACATATACGAAGAAATAACAATGAGCGAATTTGATTTTTACTATTGAGGTACGGTAGATATGCTTCATTCATTTTGAGACAAGTTATTATTAATAGAATAAATGAAATTTATCCATATAGTTCTGTCATTCTAAAATGTTATTGTCATATATCGCTATTTAATTTAAATATATCTTACACAATAAACTTTTTAAGCCAAAATTAAAAAGCTTATCTAACTATCAAAATTCTTCTAATTGGCAATTTCCCAGCTTTAGCCAGGGTCTACCTTACATGTTTTGAATAGTTTTGGCTACTTGTCTTTACGGCCGGGCGCCTGCCTGACATTAACCCTCTTTGGGAATGCATTAATCAGTGTTGTCTAAATACTCTTAGAAAGTACATATGACTCGGAAAAATCACATTGGTACATGGCAAGGATCGAACCCGCGCCCGCATGCATGAGAGGCGGACCTTTTAATCACTAGGCCACCACTGACTAACTATCAAAATTGTCATATAATAAGTGAAATATTTCATTTTATTTATTCTTAAGCAAACAACTAATAATTATAATCATTATTTTTAATGGTAAAATTTCCTTAACCTATCAGTTCATTTTAATCGCTTCGTATATTCCCTATGTATACTTGAGTAGCAAGTTAGTAATATTATGAATGCGATTATTTGGAATAGTTTATTTTTCCTCTAATGATATCATTTCATGTGCAGGAAATGACGTATATATATTTTATGAAATGGATTTGAAATTGGAATATACTTCAATTTCCTGATAAGCAAGTAAACCCCACTTCCGCTTCATGTGTAATCGTGACGGCGATATCAATTTCATACTAATACCACAGATATCCCGCCGCGAGTCTTAATCGCTTGCCATTTATCCAGTAGGTTTCAAATATGAACACTATTTATATATTTGAAAAACATGACGAATGTTAGTAACAATAATAGATACCTATGACTAACTAAAGAAGAATAGAATACTTTATACCTAAAAGAAATTGGGACCGAGAAATAATTTAAACCCACAATTATTATTATTAAATCTATTTATCAAGTTACCAACCTCTAATTCTTTGATGTTTTTTGCATTTGGTTTGCAAGAATAAAAAATGAACTGTATATTTAGATCCCCCAAAATAACTCCACTTAATTTAGTAATCAAAATTCTATTTAATTTTAAAGGGAAATTAAATTTGGTTTTCATTTCTTCTATTGTTTCTTTGTAATCTATTTTGAGTAAATGAAGCTTAAAAATATTTCCTGTACTTTAATAAACTTTATATTAAATATTTATTCTTATTATTAACACAATATTAATGTTTGTGTTGTCTATGTTATAAAAAAGATGCTATTACTATACTTTACTAAATGCA